TCTCATTGTCCTTATTTTATTGCTGTAGCTGTTTCCATCAAATTATAAGTTTGGGATTGTAAATCATAATAAAGTGTAGTAGTGCAGTTGGGGGACCCCCAGCAGTCCCTAGACCCCACTTTGAGAACAGCAGACAATCTCTCCACATATTTTTTATACAGATCATTATCAGTCTGGCGTTTCAGGCTCAGCCAGTCCAGATTGTCCAGTCAGATTTGATTTTTTCAGTGACGCAAAATCATTGGTCACTCAACAATAAAATCAATTTTCAAAATTCCCTGTGATATTTCTTTCCTTTATTTTTTCCAACACTGACGGCCCACACGTGTCCTTGATTGGGTAATTCACCTGTCAATCATGCCAATTTGGAAACTGAGATTCAGCAGTGACCAGACTCACATCTTTGTAAAATATCTGTAAAGTAGTGAGGAAGTGGATCTCAGGCAAACAACCAGAGGACTGACAGTTACAATCAACAGTCACAGGATTGTGATTATTTATCATTGAAATAATATTTGTCATTTACACAGGAAATAAAGAATCAAATGATTCAAATACAGTGAACCTATAGCCCCATTTTATTTGGTTATTATTTATTATCTTCAGCATGAATAAATGAAAAGATCACACTCAGATGGTGATATCTCATACAAGTTTTGGCAAAAGCCACTTCACATCATTTCTTCTTTTTTCTTGTTTTGGACCACAGTGTTTCAGAGTTTTCCTCCTGATCAAAACACAAGTGACACATTTAATATAAATATCACCTGTTCTGAGCTGCTTCATTAAAACTTTGAACCTGTAGACACCTTCCTCCTCCTCCTCCTCCTCTACTTCTTTACATTCTATTTCCTTGAGCAGTACAGACACACACACGCACACACACACACACACACACACACACACACACACACACACACACAGCACACACACACACACACACACACACACACACACGCACACACGCACACACACACACACGCACGCACGCACACACGCACGCACACACACACACACACACACACACGCACACACACATTCACACTGTGACATAAGCAGCTGTATTACAATATAGACAACAAAGTCAAATTAACAGAGGAAGGCTCGTTTCCTGTTCGGATACTGTCACCTCCGAACCAGGTCACACCTCTCAACTTCCTGCACCTGTCACCCCCCCCCCCCCCCCCCCCCCCCCACACACACACACACACACACCACCACCCCCTAACCCCTTACTTATACACATCTTTATTTATCTGCATCAAGCTCTGCTACAGCGTCTGCTGTGGAAATATTTGTTCTCCTCCTCTGACCATGGCACAATTTTTCTTGTCACTTGATTTCTCCTCCATGTTCCACACACACTTTTCTTTGTTTATTTAGTTTGTTAGTTTCGTTTGTTAGTTTGACGTGGAACCGACACCGGCAGGGTTCTCTGTCGGCCTGAAAACACTGCCTGTGATGTCATGAAGTGGTAGTTTAATCCAAATGATTCTAGTGAAGGAGTTTAAAAACACAGTGGAGCACTTCCTGTGTTATTACCACATGAATGTTTTCAGTTTGAGAGAAGAACTGAGCCTAAATGTGCGGGACTGTGTGTTAAACGTGTGAATGAAACAAAACACAAGTCCAGGTCTGTTTGTGACAAGGAAAAAAAAAGTGTAAAAAAACAAAAAAAAAGTTGCACTGTGGAACTTTTCTTTTTTGACCATCACCAATGTTTGTCCATGGAGATATTACCTGGAATGTTCCGCTGTACGGCGTCACATTTATTTATCCGTACAGAGACAGCAGGTGACGCCACAGGGCCAAGTTCCACGTCAGGTCTGTGGAGAGGCGAGCCCACTCACAGGAAGAACGCAGAAAGTTTTTAGGTCGATATAACTCCACATTAATGAATAAATTGCAAGATGGAGACGTTTAATGCCACAGCGGGACGTTCCAGACAAAACAGAGGATCTCCATGGAGACCCTTCACCAGAAAAGTTACACAGTGCGTCTTTAAAATGTATGAAGTGAAATCCTCCATCTCCTCGTCAGAATGGAAGTATTTTAAATTTTGGTTGTATTGTGTGATGGACGTGTTTTGCTCTTGGAGGTCAGAACAGTCATTTGAACGTGGCCCCCGAAAGTCTGTTAATCAGAAAAGAGAAAGAAGAAGAAGAAGAAGAAGAAGAAGAGAAACTCCATCTCCACCAGCACAGAATGTGAAGTATGTATCAGGCGATTTATGCTGGACGTGTGTGGTCGAGCGAGGCAGGGTCAGGGCCGCCGGAGCGAGGGAGGACGGAGGGAAGGAGCGAGGGAGGGAGCTTTAATGAGAGAGGAGGAGGAGAGAGGGAGGAGAGAAGGAGGAGACACCAGGGAGAGAGAGAGAGGGAAAAGGAGGAACAGAGAGACAAGGAGAGAGGGGGGGAGAGGGAGAGAGAGGAAGAGAGAGAGGAGTGACCAGGAAGAGGGGGAGAGAAAGAGGGAGAGAGAAGGAGGGGAGAAGAGAGAGTAGAGAGAAAGGGGAGTGGAGGGATGGGGAGAGAGGAAGGGGGAGAGGAGAGAGAGGGAGGAAGAGAGAGAGGAGTGACCAGGGAGAGAGGGGGGAGAGAGGGAGCGAGAGAGAAAGAAAGAGGAAGTGGAAAAAGGGAGAGGGAGAGGGGAAAGAGGGAGAGAGAAAGAGGGAGAAAGAGGAGGAGGGGAGAAGAGAGAAGTAGGGGGGGGAGAAGGGGGAGAGCAGAGAGAGGGAGGAAGAGAGAGAGGAGTGACCAGGGAGAAGGAGAGAGAGAGAGGAAAGAGAGAGAAAGAGAGATGGGGAGAAGAGAGAGAGTAGAGAGAGTAAAGAGAGAGGGGGGCGGAGAGAGAGGGAGAGAGTGAGAGAGGTAGGGAGGGACGAGAGGAAGGGGGAGAAGAGAGAGGGAGGAAGAGAGAGAGGAGTGAACAGGGAGAAGGAGAAAAAGAAGAGAGGGGAAAGAGGGAGGGAGATGGGGAGGGGAGAAGAGAGAGAGTGGAGAGTAAAGAGAGAGGGGGGGTGGAGAGAGAGAGAGAGAGAGAGGAGAGAGAAGAAGAAAGAGGAAGAGCAGGGGAGAGGGAAAGAGAGAGGAGAAAGGGAGGTAGAAGGAGAAAGAGAGAGCAGATAAGATAAGAGGCGTCCACACAGACAGAGAGAGGAGGCTCCTGATAAGAGTCTGTGTGAACGCTACTGCAACAGAAGCATCTGAAGCAACGGGAAAAACACTCTCCTACTCTCCTCTACTTTAAATCTCTCTCTATTACAATCTTTTATTGTGTTTCATTTAAATGTATTTATCTTTTATGTTATTTCCAGTCAAACCATATCAAAAACAGCTCCTTTTACTTTTAGTTCAGGCAATTCTTTTAGTTTATTCTTTTCTTTAGTTTTGGCAATTCCAGAGCTGAAATGATCTAAATGATTCTAGTGAAGGTGTGTGGAGTTTAAAAACACAGTGGAGCACACTACCACATGACATCACAAGGTGGAATAAAGTGTTGTCTGTTTGAGAGAAGAACCTAGAAGCCTAAATATGCAGGATTTGTGTATTAAAAATGAAACAAAACACAAGTCCAGGTCTGTTTGTGATGAGGGGACGACATAAGAAATATAATAATATAATATATATAGATATTTATTTTCCATATGAAAGTTTTTTGTTTTTTTTGAGGGAGAGAAATGCTGAATCAATGCATCATGTAACTAAAAAATAATAATTTGAATAATCATGATTTCAATACTGACCAAAATAATGGTGATAATGATTAGCTCCACAGTGGAGCAGCTCTCGGCTTTTTAAAGACAACACAACCTGGTGAAGTCAATACTGTGCTACATTTCCTGTCTGGTGTCAGTATCAGGCCCTCATGGCTTTAGCTTGTCTTTCCTCCAGTTTTCAGTCTGTATTTATAAACCAATCTGACAATTTCACTTCTCCACCATCCACCTCCACCAAAACACCATTTAAAGTACACATTTACAAATGTGCTGTCAAAACACGGAGACAAACTGTAATGTGTGAAAACGCTCTGATTTTTGATTCTAGAATACAGTAAGAGAAACATCCTCACAGTGTGACAGAGGACGAGAGTCACACGACATCACTGTTTTTCTCTCTTTGTTTAAGGTGAGAGAGTTTCTGTCAAAAGGTGATGTATAAAACTGAAGTGTGTAACCATTATAAGTGTTATAAATGTGCAGGTGACAGGGACTTCTACAAACCCCACTCACATACAACGTGTGCTGCACTACACACTTTAGACCAGAGCCCAGACACACCAGCAAACTACTGTACTGCATCTAGATCATCTTTTATATGACAAAGATATATATTATACATGTTTAATATATTGTATTATTTTATAATTTATATACTCAATGTCAGTGAAGTTTACACAGCAAAAAGTGAAGTGTTAAAACTGACTCTCACCAAATCAATTTGAACATTTTCTCAGGGTTTATATGAATCAAATTTGTTCTAGAGATAATTGAACTTTTTGGAAATGTTAATGAAGTAATACTGGACCAAAGTTCCTATTTAACACCAAATTCAAGAGTTATATTAACGTTTTGAGAGTAAAAAGATAACACTTTGAAGGGTTATCCTGTTTTTGCTAAACAACACAGAGTTATTTATTTTTACACTTTTTTGGAGTTAATTTAAGATGACATTATGAACAAAACTGGTTCAAACTGGTCTTCTCTCGTGGGAGTTTGAAATGGTGGTGGGAGGAGCCAAAATAACAATGAGAGAAGCTGAATTAACTTCAACCATATCAACTCTGGCAAATAACCCCAACTCCAACACACATTTAACTTTCAAATAGTTAAAATAACACGTTTTGTGTTAAATACAACTCTGAAATAGTTTACTCTGAAATTTGAACCCTCCAGTTGCTGTGTGTAGGGGGATGGTGAAATATATGAATCACTATATACAACTATATACAACATTTAGCAAAACATGTCTCTATTAATGTGAGAACTTCAAACAACAGACCTGTTTGAAGAGCTGCAGGTTGACGGCCATGGACAGGAAGCTCCTCATGGTGCTGGAGCGATGGTTCACGAAGCTCTCTTCACAGAACGTGATCGGCTCCCCCTGTGGACCAAACAAGGAAACGCATACATATGAATGAATAAGCAAGTGGCTCAGTGTTTAAAGTAGTGATCCTCCAACCTGGAAGACACAGGGTCAATTCTCACTCTGACCATGTTCTATCGATGTGTCATTAGGCAAGACACTTCGCTCGCATTGCCTAGTAAATGTGTGTGTATGTTGTGAAGTGAATAAATAAAGCCGTAGTGGAGCGCTTTAAGAAGCTTAGACAAACATGTAGAGCATTACAAGTATTACTATTATTCTAACAGTATTTAGGGTGATTTTTAAAGGACTCCTCCTCTGCAAAATCAACTTTTCAGAGAGTTTAATCATGTTATAGGGGTTTCCTCTTCTCATTTACCTCCTGGAGTTGTATTTGCAGTGATTTGTGCATGTTTATGTCATCTTTATCACTTATTTTCAAGGCGTCATATTGCTGATCATGCAGTGCGTTCACCTCCATCGGCACACGCCCACTGTGACGTACTCATTTTCTTCTACAATTTTATTTTCTCAAGTCAGTGAAACAGCACAGTCATTTTGGTATGAATGAAAACAAAATCTGCTGCTCGTGAGCGTGATGTGCAGATATCCACAGGAGTTGAAGAGTTGTCGATGTTACGGATCTGTTGGTGGTGATATGTCACATGGGGCGACTCAGCTTTAATATCAGTATCTGTGTATCCAGCAGTATCTGTGTTTCTTTAGGGTGTTTCACAATTCTAAAATCATCTCTGAGGTACATAGAAGGCAGAGTGGGCACGTCAGGTGTTTGAGCGTGAATGTAGAGATAAGTGAACGCTGCTCGGGACACACGGTCAATGAAGACTTGAAATACAACAAATCTCAACAAAAATCCTCAACAAATCTAACACCAACTCTGTTTGTGATGATGTTTGCAGCAACATCAGCTCCCATTGGGCACTGCGTCTTTCTAAAGCAGTAATCTGTGAACTATTTCTTTAATTCAATCCTTTTAGATGACTATTGTGATTAAGAAATTTGAAGTTGTAACTTTTCTGGGACTTGGGTTTGTCAGCTGCTTGTCTTTACGGAACTGCTTCAACTTTGCTTACAGTGTTCCTATGGCAACAAACTTCTATCTTGCATTTATTTTTATTGTTCAATCATCCCTTGAAAAACATGCATTCCTGTTGTGAGTGAGCTTGCCTCTCCACAGAGCTGACCTGTAACCTGGCCAGATTTGACACAACCCTGTCTCAGGACTGTCTCAGGGACGTACAGACCTGGTTGAGTGCAAACTTCCTGAATCTAAATCATTAAAAAAAAAAGAAAATGAGATTGTGGTGTTTGGACAAACTAACCCAGTGCTTGGGCAGGACAGTGTGATTGTTCCTCAGTCCTCCTGTTGTCTCCTGCAGTGAGGAATCTTGGGCTGATTGTGGACTCCATGTTCAAACTGGACAAGCACATTAGCTCTGTGATTAAGTCCAGCTTCTTTCAGTTGAGGCTCCTCGCTAAAGTAAAATTCTACCTCCCACGGGCAGAGTTCGATAGAGCGATCCATGCTTTTGTAACATGAAGGCCGTAACAAGTAATAAAGTGTTGTGAGTGTACTACATGCATATATTAAATACTGAAATTATATATTTGTTTCAATATTGTTAATGAAGTCACACAATGAGTTAATGTTTAACCACTGACATCTGATATATATGTTTAAAGGTACCACTGTGTGAAAACATATATGTTTTTAAGGTATTCCCTTTGCAGAGATGAAGGTTGTGTCTTTTTAAGGAAATCCTTTAGAGAGCAGCTGATGAGGGGTCATCCTGGCTGGCACCAAACCTAAATAGATCTGGTCATCCCCATAAATGGAGAGGCTTCAGGGAGGATCCAAGGAGTGAACCTGGTCAACATATCATTTGCATATTCATGTGGATGTATATTTCTGGGTGAAGGGACAGACGCAGGTGTTCAGATCACCTGACGTAAGTCTTGTGTAGCTGTAGGCCATGAGGGACAGTGATTTGACCCACAGCTCTCTATTAGAATTGTATTGAATAGGGAAATAAATTTTTGTGATTTCAATCGATCATTTCCAATCATTATTTTCTACAATTGGAACACACTAACAAACATCTTGCCTGGACTATAGTAATTCTTTGTATGTAGGGTTAGACCAGGGCTCCTGCAGCATTTATAACACGTCCAGAACACTGCAGCTCGTGTGTGACAAATACTAAGAAACATGAACATATCACACCTGTTCTGTGTGACCTGCACTGGCTCCTGTCTTATATCAGGTGCAATTTAAAATGTTATTAATTGTTTTCAAATGTTTGCTCTCTATGGGTCCTGTCGGTTTGAGGTAGGGTGACCATATTTCCATTTGTGAAAACCCGGACACCTTACAGGGGGTGGGAGGTGAGGCCTCGAACTACAGTCGTCCCTCACTATATCACGGTTCACCTTTCGCGGTCTTGCTGTTTCGTAGATTTTTTTTTCTTTCTTTTTCTTTCTTTCTTTTTTTTGTGTGTGTGTCAATTTTGCATGTTTTTTTTTTTTTTTTTTTAACACATGGGTGAGTCAGGACTTAACCAGGTCTAAACCAGGACTAATCTTGGACTTAAGAGAGAGAAGACCGAGTAGTTTGTCTGCAAAGCGCGATCGGGCAATTGCCGCGTTTACCTCCGTGAGGTGCGGAGCTGAGCCGGTCTTTTCTCCTGCGTCACCTCTGAGCCCGTCCTGACAGTGAGTCCTGTTTCAGTCCTGGTTTAGTCTTAGTTCAGTCCATGGAGTAGGCAGCGCAAAAGTTTGATATAATCACAGGTTAACGGGCAGGTGCGGTTCTGTACTGCAGGTCTCCAAAAATGGACCCGTGCAGGACTCTGCGCTGTTGGTCTCCATTACGGAATAAATGAATCTTGGGTTCGTTACATAAAGAAGGAGGAAAATAACAAAAGGACGACAGCAGCAATAAGTTTTAAGAATAATGTAAAAAGGATTGTAAGTGTCCTGTGTGAGAAAAGTGTATAAAGTTTGTGCTGAGGGGTTTTACAGCCTTAAAACAGATAGAATCACTGTAAAATATAAAGTTGAATAATTCGTGGATTTCACCTATTGAGGGTTATTTTTAGAACGTAACCCCCGCAATAAACGAGGGACGACTGTACTCTCACCTCACAACCTGTGCACATGGCCTCCCACTTGTCTCGATGGGATGGAAAACTGAGAATTTCTTGTACAAGTCATTGTTAAATGCACATTTACGCTTCGGTATGTTGCAGACTGACCAACTGTTTGTGTCTGCTCGCTCCCTCTGAGTCACAGACCAGACGCTATGACAGCCGCTCAGTTTAATGCCCCCAATGAACGGTAATGAAAACCCGGACATTTCCATCACTTAAAAAATAAAAAATAAAATGGACGCCCAGGACAAGACGCAAAATACGGACATGTCCGGGGAAAAACGGACGTTTGGTCACCCTAGTGTGAGGGAGCTACTGCAGCCCTGTACTCTGCCCAGAGCCCTGAGATCAGCTGACCAGCTCCTGTTGGTCAAATCCAAATGTAGTCTCAAGACGAGAGGTGACAGAGACTTTTCTATGGCAGCGCTCAGATTGTGGAATAACCTTCCTCTTCCTGTCAGATCCTCTAAGTCTGTAACGAGACTGAAAACTCACCCCTTCTACCCTGACATTTAATAGGAGCTAGTCAGATTATCTTGGTGTTTGTACTGTAGTTTTCCCATGTTTTCTGTATATATGTGTTTGTAACTTGTATGTGAAGCACTTTGGTCAGCTGAAGTTGTTTTAAATGTGCTATAGAAATAAACTTGAATTGAATTGAATTGAACAACCCAAACTATGTTTTCTACAAATCTCCATTTCAAATTTGTTTAACGGTGTCACGTAGAAAAGTTCTATTAAACCCACAGTAACACAACACGTCACTGTAACACAACGCACAAACACACGTCCCACTCTGAGGTGTAATTAGCCGAGAATCTAACCCACAACCTCCTCGCTGGGGGGTCAGAAACGCTCAGCTTTCCTCCTCTGCTCCCCCACTCGACAAACAACAGAGCTTTAAATCACAATGTGTACCAGAGAAGTCCGCTCTAATTAAGCTCTGCCTCGGTTCACTTCTTCATTAACGAGAAAAAGGAACAATGGAAAAAAAACAACAAAGATCTTATTGCAACAGAACAGGCAAAAACGTTAAAATATTATCACAAAATTACTGTTGCTTACATCATGGTTTTGGGCTTTGGGCGAAAGAAACGCAACGACAAACCTGGAGGCGAGTCACAGCCGTTAGCTCGTTTTACATTCGCTTTAATTAACGCCGCTCCTCTCGCGTGGTTCTTATTGTCGCTGTGAATTCTGGTGCTATAAAACAATAATGCGCTTTGTCTTTTCGGGGTGAGATTACAGAGAAGAGGATGAAAATAAGAGTGTTTATAGAAGCGGGATGGAGGGAGGAGGAGGAGGGAGCAGTGTCCTGGATTACATCACAGGAAGAAGGCTCCGCTAGCATCAACTTTCTAAAGAGTTTGGAAAAGGACAGATATAAGACGGGTTAGAGATGAGAGAAAAACAAAATAAGTGTTAAAGGTGCTTAAAGGTGTGTAACCTTTCATTGTTCTGCCTGGAAACTAGTATTTTATTCACTATTTTTTTTTTTATATTTTAAAGGGTTATATTTACTAGAGCCTGACTGATATATTGGTTGATTGGCTGATATGGGCACCTGGAGACATATTGGCTATTAGCCGATATGTTTGCTGATGGGGCCGATATTTCATGTGGGCATGTGATACGTCGTTATAAAGCTTAGACTCTCTACATTATGTTCATTTACTCCAATTTACAGACAGATAAATGTCCAAATATGTGGCTCCACATCAGTATTTATCTGCGGAGTCATTTGTCTGTGTGTGTGTCCATACTGTCCCTGAACACACGTCACTCACATCACGTCACGTCACTCACGTGTGTTTGTTTACACTCGCAGACATAGATCCAAACACAGAC